AAAAAAGCTCATGATTTCATAGTTTAATAGAATGGTTTGAAGATTTCATGATTTCATTAATGGGACAAAAACTCATGATTTAATGTATTTCATTTAACAAAACATACTCAACAACGAAATCTCATTCGAACTCGCTCCGAAGAAATGCACACAAAAATGACTGCAAAGTTGATTAGATAATTTGCAAAAAGAATAATAAAAAAGTTCCACAATTAATTAATCTGCAATCACTAACACTATCCCAAAATATCAGAAAGTTGATCATTTTCATATTAATCAGTTAAATGGTAAAAAGACGCTTCCGCTCTGAAACAAAAAAAAAATGAAGAATTCTGATTGGTTAGGAGAGGGTTACAAAGTTTTCTACAAATGCAATGATTTGAATATGACCCCTATACATGGGGTTAAATCATGTAACGACTAGATTGAGAAACTTGAGGACTAATCTAATCCATAGATTACAATAAATCAAACGTGATTAAAAAAGAAGCCTATTTAAAACAAAATTGTAAAATAAGGGTATTTTTGTCAAATTAGAAGTAAATCGAAAGGGCATTTTGGGCATAATATTATTGAAATCAAATCAATTTGGCGGACACCAAACCATTTTCATATTAGATTAGTTTTCATTCTTTCACCTCCCGTCTCATCTTTTTCATATCAATTAGGTCCAGAACAGATCTAGACCAAAATCCCAGCATCAAGAACAGATTTAGACCATCTCCATCACCGAAAACCATCTCCACCCATCACCGTCACCGACAACAACTTCGTCTCCGATGAACACCTCTCCATTCTCTACTTTACAATCTGAGTACTGTCTCATCTTGCTTGTAGGTGGAAACTATATTGCTGCTAGCTTTTATTCTCAAGGTTTTGGACCAAGGGATTTGGGGGGAAATTACGATTTCGGTTATTGATGCCATTAGAGAGTTGTTGCTTGAGCTCCAACTGCCCACCAATTCTTGATTATTAGGTTTCTGTTCCTCCACATTTGGAGAAGCAGGTCATGTGAGACGTCTCTGTTCTTTATGATCCACCTTCGAAGCTTGATATCTCCATTTATGGTGGCAAATTTATAGACCTGAAATCCTTCAATAACCCCAAAGTTTTTCGATCACACCTTCATCGCGAGACCAATCATTGATCATAAAATCAAATTTCTTAATTTCAATTCTCAATAAATCGATTGATCCCTAGTTAATCTCGTTTTCAAAATCTCTAACCTTCTTCTTCGACGATCATTTCAAAGTGTTGTTTATTTTGATTGCAATTACGGATGCTTATGTTCATCACCGTTTACGATCCAAATTTTATGATCTTGTTCATTTAATCAAGTTGTTGCGTGTTTATGGATTAAGATTTCGAGTTACGGCTTTTTTGATGGCATTATTTGTGGTTTCTATTCCTTGGATTGCGTCAACGATAAGAAGAGAACATAACTTCGTGGTTTTTAATCAAGGAGATGATCATCGTGTTGAGTTTAGAAACGATAATTCAATTATACTCGAAATCTTTTTGATGTTATGAAATTTGACAAACAAAATGGGTTTTGGGGATGCATGATAAGGGTTTGATCGTTTGCAATGATGACGAGGATGAAAAATTGCGAGAAAGGGCAATGATCATGGATTTTATGGGGTGAAATAACATATAGATGAAAATTGTATTTTATTTCATGAGATGAAATAGCATGGTGCGTATATGTTCATCTGGTGAATCTTTGTTACCAAAATGACGATTATGCCATTTTCTAATTAAAATTATCATTTAATTAAAACTATATGATCAAAATCAAATTAGTGCTTAGATTGATTCTCAATATTTTCAACTTTTGTGTGGTTCTTATTTGATTATCATCCTATATATATAAGGTTGGGTTTTCGCTGAGAAGAGAAGTTTTAGTGAGAATCGTAAGAAGAGATTTTTATCTTTGGATCAATTCTAATTGAATGTCAACACTAATGACGTGTACCGGGATGCACCGAATCAATTCCCTTCTAAAGCACAATCATGGGTGGACATGAGATTCAAAGTGATCAAGAGTTCAAAATCTCTTCTAACGTTTCTCATCATAATTTTCCTTCTCACACGACCCTTCTCACCTTCTCATATATATATATATATATATATATATATATATATATATATAGAGGGTGGTTCAAATACTAACCCAATATTTTGTGCAAACTTTGCTAACCCACATCAACCAATAATGTTGCATCTTTGGGTTTGGTTAAAATGTAACTTACATATTAATGATAAGGGTATTTAGGTCATTAGTCATTCTTATGTAACTCTCAAATATTTTAATTGGGAGTTACAAATCCTACAATATCTCAAATTGATCTTCATCTAATAATGACATGAAGATTCAAATATGTTCATCTTATTGACAACTAATTCACATATGAAACCACCTACAACGAACATCATGCACGAACAGATATAAAGTACAGGTATCGGTTTTATCTGCACAACCCCTGTTTTTGTTAATGTGCATGTCTCATCGTCGTGCATGTGTATCACTACGAGCATGCATCAAGGTTGAAGAACATGATCATATGACCAACATATATCGATTATAGTRTWCATTAGGTTCACACGGTGTAGCTAATGTTCATATATCTAGGGTTCACACGGTGTAGCTAATGTTMATATATCTAGGGTTCACACCATAGGGTTCACATGAATGTTCATACCTTGATGTCCACACCATAGGGTTCACATGAATGTTCATACCTTGATATAGGCACGAAGATGAACGATTGTTCATACACATATTAATTAATACAAATTTTTGACCAATTTATCCTTTGAACAATTGTTCATACACATATTAATTAATACAAATTTTTGACCAATTTATCCTTTGAACAATTGTTCATACACATATTAATTAAATTATTGTTTATTTAATCTCATTTAATAATAACCGTTAGATGAGAAAATGAACGATTAAGATGGGTTAGCATAGTTTGCACAAAATATTGGTTTAGTATTTGAACCAGCCCCTATATATATATATATATATATACACACACACACACACAATATACAATAGGATTAGGTTCACGTGAGACCAAGGGTTTTTCGTGAGACTCGTAAGACCAATTTATGTTTATTGATCAACTTTATAAGTTAATGTTCTACTGGTCTAAAGTTGTACGGTGACAATTTTGTGATTATTGAGAAGTTTCGTGGCAATTTTGTGATTTTGAATGTTCAGATTGTAGATCTAATCCAAGGGTTGAGAATTGGTTTTACGGGTCTCACGAAAAACCTTTGATCTCACATGATCTCAGGTCATATACAATATACATACATATATACATATATATATATATATATATATATAGCCTTCTTTTAAGAACTTCACAAACCGAATCGATATATATTAAGGCGCTACTTGAAACCGACATCATAAATTGGTCATTCATTAATTAGACCCTAATTGAATAACTTGTGATAAAAAGAAAGGGAACATATAAAGGATCAAGCTAAACTCCATCAATCTAGACTCGGAACTGACCCAAATATCTCAGAAACCCCATTACAAAAAACTAATTGATCTTGCTTTCATATTTTCTTTCAAGTGAAAGTAAGTAAAGCCAAAATACACGTACATTTCACAAGTGTAGCAATCTTTGTCACTAGAAATCCTCTAAGACACATATATACATAGGTTACAAAAAGACTTCAATTTGTTTTCTCTTATATTTCCTTAATTTATCTCAAGAACCCTATCTCACAAGTTGATCATCGTTTTGCCCGTACATTATTTGTTACAATATACATATAGACAGAGAAAAACACCACACAGACACTCGTTCATTTCTTAAATTTCTCCTTGACCAATTAAGATACCTTGGCTTAGTGTAGTGATACAGCTAGCTCCAACCCATTTCACTAAAGAAATTTTTATATAGTAATCAATAGAGAGTGCACCTGTTTCAAGGACAGAAGCATATATATGGTTAGTTTAGGGTTGGAGAGAGCTCTTAAGCCAAGGCGATGAGCTTATTTTTTTAGTAATTTAAAATAAAGTTTAAGAAACCAAGCCAATATTGGGAGGCATGGGAACAACACCCACGTTCTCCCCTATCATATTTTACTCTGTTAATTCATTACTTTAAAATTCCAATTTTAGGGTTTTCTTTATTCTATTTAACAACAGAAATGGCTGCTACTTTTGTCCTCGGTTAAACTTCAATTTTTTACTCAGCTCAGTAAATACGTTTGAATTTTTGTATCTTTGCATGTATCGTGTTCGGTAAATTATGTATTTAGGGTTTTCTTTTATGTGTAACTTTTCTTATGGAACACAGGAAATTCAAAACAGGTAATATGACCACTAAATGACTCTTGATGTTCACACATTTTTGTTTCTAACAAAACAAACATATTAGACTAGCTATATATGACAAATTTGCCACTTGACAATAAAATTTGTTTATAAATTATCAAATAAAAGAATAAATAAATGGTGATTTTATAGTAAAGTCATGTGTAAAATCACATGTGATTAACACAACTTTGAGGTCACGGGCCATGTCGCCCGCACATCCTTACGTTGAACGTTATTGCAAAATCACATGTGATTTTCACAGTTTTCGTATTCTCTTGTTTGGTTACCTTTACATGTGTGTCTATACATATATGTATATATATATATATATAGACACACATACATGACACACATATATCTTTATGTATTATAATATACACCCTTTAGTTTATTTAGCTTGTTATCCTCCATAAATACACTCATCCTCCTATCCCTCCTATCTATCGCTCGTCACTATTCTTCCTGTAACTGTTCCAAGAGCTAGAGTTTATGTGATCATGGTACAGAGATATATATGCAATATATAGCTATGTATAAAGTTTGAATTATATATATGCTTCTCATTTTTTATAAATTCAATTGTATATGTGTTTCTATCTTTTCATAATTCAAGTACTGTATGAAAGTTATCATTTATACTATCTGTTTGTAGGGAAATCAAAAGCCAGCTTGGTTAAAAGCTCTCTACATGCAGAAATTCTTCACCGCATGTTCAACTCACGAGAACTTAAAGAAGAACGAGAAGAATATATGTTGTTTGGATTGTTGCATCAGCATTTGCCCACACTGTGTGCACTTTCATCGATTCCATAGGCTCCTTCAAGTTCGTCGTTATGTATACCACGACGTTGTGAGGCTGGAAGACCTAGAAAGGCTTATTGACTGCTCCAATGTTCAGGTAAAATTCTTATAAAAAGAATCGAAAGGCCTAGTTATATGTATTGTATATCTCTTTATTTAGCATAATTCAATCGAATATTTGGTAACTTGGTTTATAACTTTATCAGGCTTATACCATTAATAGTGCAAAAGTGGTGTTTATCAAAAAGAGACCTCAAAACAGGCAATTTAAGGGCTCTGGAAACTATTGTACTTCTTGTGATAGGAGCCTCCAAGAACCCTTCATCCACTGCTCTCTAGGGTGTAAGGTAATTCAATTCCCATTTCCTCTAGTTTAACTGTCAAAATATGCACAAGTTCCATGATTTCATTCTGGAATCTATTGAAGGGTATCATCCTTCTTATCTTTCAGAATCACAAATGTTATGAATAACAGATGCAAGTTGTATAGAAATGGATAAAAACTGAAAATTCTACAAATGAATACTTAATTTTCATCTGGGTGAGTTTCATTCTGGTTCAAGCCTCAGAGTTAGATGTTACTGAACACTTCAATTGTGAGCTAAAATACTGTAATTGTAATTATGCACAATTGCAGAATGGATATTGTCCAAAACTTAGCATAATTTATACGTTTAAGATCTTCAAGAATATTTTGTCCAAGATTTTTTTACGAATGAGTCATAATTTACCTTTTATTTTGGTTGCTTAAGAGGCACAACATCCTTATGCTGCATTTATGCTCTACATGCATCTCATAGTTGGAGCTTAGTTTTAATTTTACTCTAAAAATTGAAAGCTTAGTTATAGTTTTAAAATACATAGTTAACATTGATGCCTTCAGTTTCTCGATTTCGAAAACTATTATATTACCATCAAAAATTAAACGAAGATGCTTTTTACTATCTACGAACCGAACATTTAAATCTTGCATAACGGAAGTGAAAACTAGAGAGAAAAAGAACTGTTAGTATAAATATTTTAAGACCAGATGCAAAGAATGCAAATAGTGAATTTAAAGAAAGAAAAACGTACATCTTATAGAATTTTTTTATTGTATTGGTACATGCAAATTGAGATATATATATATACATATATATATATATATATACACGAACTTAATTGAGTTTGAAATATTTTAGGTGGATTTTGTGCTCAACCATTATAGAGACCTCACACCATTCCTAAGAGTATGCAATTCCTTGCAACTTAGTCCAGATTTCTTCATTCCAAATGACAATGGAGAGGATGAGATGACAAACGAGACGCCGTACTCAACGATCGTGGATTTTGAGGATCCCATGAGCTCGTATTCATGCTCATCGGGCTCTGAAAACACGAGTATGATGTGCACCGAGTTCGTTAGGAAGAAGAGGAGTGGACTTTATACTTGTGGAAGATCCAATAAGGTTCATTCTGAAGAGGATATGGCCTCAAGCATGATCAGTAGAAGAAAGGGCATCCCCCAGAGATCACCTATGTGTTGAGACTTGAGAGAGCATTAATAAAATTTTCCTTTAATTTTTTTTAAAGAATTTTCTTTTGGAATATTATTCATCAACTGGTGCAACTGCTCTCTTATCTCTATATATAATTATGATGTTTTATGTTCTGGTTATTTTAAATAATCACTTGGTCGGAGGGGTTTTGGTGTTAATGGCATCACGTGATTCCCAATTCCAAGCAATGGTTTTCTACAGTTTTTATGAATTTCTCTCGTATTTTAATAATTGTTATCATTATAAAATTAAAACTGGTGTGAATTCGAGGGCCTTATTGCTCTAATAAACTTTTCTCCATCATAATATACATATATATATATATATATAGTTTGGTTGAAATACAACTCATCACATTTGTACAACTAATACAACCAAATGTATATAGATATATATGGAAATGAGTTCATTTATTATGATTTGAATATTTATGAAAGATGAATATGGTTCATTAATTATGATCGATACTTTATATTRGGAAACAATAAAAACTTCTATGAAATCACATATTAATCAAATGAAATAGACGGTTGAGATTGGTTGTATTGGTTGCACAAATGTAAAAGGTTCTATAATAACCAACCCCTCTCTCTCTATATATATAGACACGCTTCTCAATTATTTTTGTACACATTATATTATAAACATGTACATGTATAACTATATAGTATATAATATAAGTAGAATTTAAATAAACTATAAGAAATAACACTACAACAAAATTGGGTTTATAGGACACCTTAAATCTCCAAGTGTCTCAATAGACCGCTTTATATGACTTAGTTTATAAGACCAAAATATAAAGCGTACTATCTAAAGGTGTTGTAATATGTTTATATGACGTTTTTGGACATATTAACAAGTTTTTAGGACATTTTTAATACAAAATGTCGCATTAACAACTTTATAGGACACTTTCTCAAAAGTGTCCTATAAACTCAACTTTTTATTGGACATTTGTTTTTATAGGACAATTTTTCAAATAGTGTCCTATAAAGTTGCTAATTGAACGTTTTATATTAAAAGTGTGCTAAAAAACTTATTATGACGTCAAAAAACGTCATATAAACTTACTACAACGCCTTTAGATAGAATGTTTTATTTTTTTGGTCCTATAAACTAAGTCATATAAAAAGGTCTATTAGGACGCTTAAAATTTAGGAATGTCCTATAAACAAGATTTTGTTGTAGTGTAAACGACCAAAATAAAAGTCGTATCATGGATTAAAGTTTGATTTGTGCATAACAACTGAATTCTTTTATACAAACGATCGATTTTGATTAAGATAATACTTTGGAACTTGGATTTTAAACCTTGGTTTGGAAACGGGGACTGGATTGATGATAAAATAGAATCCTGGGTTGCAAACAGTGATTCGATTGATGATGAAAAAAGAGAATTCTTCGTTCAGTTCTCCACCTTAACGACAGAAAAAGGGATCGATCAAATTTTATTAGCTTTTACATCTCAAAGTTTTTTGTAAACAAGGTAATTTCGAGCATAATTTGTGACTCCAATACTTTTGAACTTTTTGGTAGGTTTGGTATCATTTGTTGCAGGATGATTATGTGATGAGAATGGATAAGAGGTTCTTTTTATACTGATACCACATTTCTTAAATATTTCATTTGGTAACCAAACAATTAGTATTAACTTTGTTAAAGAAGATATTTTTGTCTTTTTATATATTGATACCACATTTCTTAAATATCTCATTTACTTAATTATTACATTCCTTAATTATCATATTCTTAAAATATCTGATTTCTTCACTTAATTATCACATTCATTAAATAATAAGGAATATCACTTAAAGTTCACTTATTTATTGTTTCACCTATGAAATTTCTGCTTTCACATATGAACTTGTTTAAACTACTTTAATTATCTTATTCATTTTTTGGTTTCATCTATGAACGTTGATAGATAAATTTGGAACAACCGAAGTTTAATAGATGAAACAAAAATCATTGTGTTTTCACTTATGAACTTTAAAAAATATAATGTTTCACCTATGAACTTGAAACATAAATTATTGTTTCACTAATGAACCTTCCGGTTTCACTTATGAACTTTTGTAAACATTTGGAACAATCAAAGTTCATACACGAAAAACATTATGAGCTTTAAATCAAAATTTGTTTCACCTATGAAATCTCTAATTTCACCTATAAACTTTGGTAAAAGAAATGGAACAATCAAAATTCATAGATGAAACCTAAATCAGAATCGTAAATGCATCAAACCAATTTTCAAATATAAAACCTAAATGATACCCAATTCTAAAACTTAAATCAAAACCCAGTAACATCAAATGGAACCGGCACCCATATAACTTTATTGATTAATTATCAAAAAGGGTGCATCATTCTAGGAATGATACAACTCGATATCAATCACTTAGGAGAAACTAGTCCATGAATGGAAAAAGATGAAGTGGATAATTATCAAAAGGTATTTAGTATAACATCATTTACAAAAATCCAACACATGCAACATCAAGAAGAAACAACAATAGGTGTAGAAAAAACCCAAAGATAATCCAACTTAGACAAGATCAAAACCCTAGGAGTAAATAGTGGTTTGAATGTTTCTTCATCCTCAACAAGATCAACAATCTTCGATGGCTTTGTATCATTCATCCATGGGGATGTGCAATCATTCTCCAATTTGTAGCATCTTTAACCAAATCTCCAATTTAAAATGGGGAAGAAGGAAGGCCGAAATCCATTAGATTCGATTTGTGAAACCACCAAATCCAATTTGTAAATCAATACGTTGGGTGGTTTGAGTACAGGGAGAAGATGGCGGGGACGGGAGTGGGAAGAATCGAGATGATTATGATAAGATATTTGATAGAAAGTCTGGTTTCCGATGCAATGATGGAGAGAATCGGAATTGTTGCATCTTCTACCGGCACAACGAGGGGAGACTCGAGAAAAGATAAAGGGAAGATTTGAAGGAATCCACTTATTTTAGAAATAAATGGAGTTATAATCTCTTCTAAAAATATGATATAATTTGTTCCAAAATTACCCTCGACTTAATTTCATTTGATATGTTTACTTTTTAATCAATTTATAATCTCTCATTTAGTCATAAATGTTGCTAAAAGAATACATTGGTTAACAAAAGAATATGCCTATATATATGTATATGTATGTATATGTATATATATATATATATGTATATGTATATCTATACACGTAATAAGTAACTTGGCTGTCACGTGTCGTCTTATTGTGCGACGGTTATAAGGATTTTATGCCTAAACATGTATGTAGACACAATTTACATTGCTGGTTCAAATGAGCCTATTTAATTGACATTTGTCCCTGTAAACATAACTGATTTCCGTATGAAAATGGATTTCTTTTCAAAGACTTAAGTAAGCAAAAGTCTGGATTTCCATTCCTCAGATTTATAAGTCTGATATCTACAAACTTTTTCAGCAAAAACCTTACCACCAGGAGACCCCATGTTTAAAAGAAAACCGTTATTCACTGAAGAAGCAACAGGAGATGGGAAATTTGGCACATTTTGTACTGCCACAAATGGAAATGCCAAGAGATTAATTACAGCATTGACTATATCTCTAATTCCATTTTTCTCAGTTAAAGTCTAGAGTTGTTTCCCAGCCTAACAACACAACTCTGAATTCTTATGCTTCAAAGTTAAAGTTCAAAGTTTCTTTGTAGGCTTGAGGACAAGTCTGGACTCCTTTTCCTAATTTAAAATTAAAAGTTGTCTGCCAGACTTATAAGGCATAACAGTATAAAATTTTGAGGACAAGTCTAAACTCTTTTTCCTCAGTTAAAATTCAGAGTTGTCTTACAGACTTGTAAGACATACAAGTATGAAAGTCTGGGAAAATCAGAGTTGTAAGTTTGAATTTAACTCTGAAGTGGCCTCCAGACTTACAACATAACTTTGGGAAATTCAGAGTTGGTAAGTCTGAATTTAACTCTGAAGTGGTCATCAAAACCGAGTTTAAAATTTCAAATTCAGCTCGACCCACCCCAGTCAGGGGATCTGTCCCTTGGACCCCGCCACTGGGGGCGCTCCCCCCAAACCCTTGTCGTTTAGGGGCTTCACCCCTAAATCAAAATAAACTCAAACAAGTGTRCACTCCGCACATTCCTTACTTGTTCGATATTTATCATGATAAAATTGGTCAACAAATTAATCTCATTACACTTAAATGACATTAGTGATACAAATCACCAACATGAAGTCATCAGATATTGGTTATTTCTCACACTTACAACATAACTCTGAATTGTTTTGTTCCAGACTTAGTTCTATAGTTTATTCCCAGACTTAGAATACAACTCTAAACTCCTCTTTAGAGTTGAAGTTCAGAGCTACATTTCTGAGTTATAAGAAGTCAGAATTCTTGTGACTCAAAGTTATGCTCATAGATACTTTCTAGACTTAGAAGATAACTCTGAATTCCTCTTATTCAGAGTTAAGTCTAAAGTTATTTTCCAGCCTAACAATAGAACTCTGAATTCAGATGTTTCAGAGTTAATGTTCAGAGTTTTCTTTTAGACTTGAGGAAAAGTCTCAACTCATTTTCCTCATTTAAAATACACCATGTAATACACGGGTTCGAACCTAGTATATATATATATATAGAGAGAGAGAGAGAGAGAGAGAGAGACTTGAGTTATTATGCAAACATTTACATTTATACAATCAATACAACTCAATCTCAACCGTCCATTTAATTTGATGAATATGTGATTTCATAAAAGTTTTAATTGTTTTCTAATATAAAATATTAATCATAATTAATGAACTCTAGTCAACTTCCATAAATATTCAAATCATAATAAATTAACTCTCATCATTTTCATAAATATCTCAATTGATTGGGTTGCATTAATTGTACAAATGAACATGGTTGCATTTGAAATATACCCTAAATATATATATATATATATAGAGAGAGAGAGAGAGAGAGAGAGACTTGAGTTATTATGCAAAAGTTATTTTGAGAA